GGCCAGCAGTAAAATGTTATCATGAGCATTTAAACTGTGTGTGTTCAGGAAGTAGCGGTGACATTCAGAACTGTAGTTTGAATGGATTAAAAATGTCAGACTGTGTTCAGACTATTGTAGAAAAACCTGATGCCACTTGCATTTCACCAAAAAAGAACCAAGAGAGAACTTTTACTGTAAATACAAGTTTGTTTGTTTAAAACCAGCCTACTTCAGTGAATTATGTTTCCATATTATCATCTGTAATATCCCACAGAGAAATAATGATGTGTGATCGGGTGCGGTTCTCTAAATCGGGGGAAAATAGTTCATTTGGGTGGCTGGTGGGTGGATGATTTATGCGTATGTGGATCTTGATGACATCAGAGCCGATCAGCGCATCATTAGTGTGTTCACTTTCAGTTTTTACGTCTGAATAAAGAACCAATCTGATCCAATCTGATCGTCTCACCGGTCACATTTCCTTTTACATCAGACTACGTTGTATTAATGTTGTTGTGGTCGTCAAACTATGAAAAGACCCACGTTGAGCGTGGAGGTTCATTCTTGACCTAGGAAACAGTAGTTTGATAAAATCTTAACTCAAGTCCGTCTTATTAGCTTTTTACCCCAAAGCTTTCAAATTATCTTGCAGTCTTCATCAGTTTGCTCACTTGTCGTCACCTGTTATCATCTGTTAACCAACTGAGCTATCTCCATGGCAACTGAGCAAACTGGGATGCAGTTGAAAGCTCTGGGAAAAACAAAACAAAACACAGAACTCTGAAGTGAACTTGAGTTAGGACTATTTTGTCAAAATACACCCAAACTGTTAGATAGATCAGAACTTTCATTTACATCAACATCAACAATTGATGAAGCTCAACTTCTAAACCGTCAAAACAGCTGCCACAACAAAGTCAACAGCAAAATCCAAACAAAGATGAGCAACACAATATAAGCACCAAAAACTGCACCACCCACGTCAAAACCACAACTTGTTGACAACAACAGCAATATAACAGTAACAGCAAATTCCAGCAACACCTACTCTGGTCAATGACATCATCCACCCAGTGTCATCAACAAAGAAAGAAAGAACAAAACAAACACCAATGACAACAGCAGCGGCCAATCACAGATCACCATGCAGAGAGAAAGACTGAAGAGATGGACAGGTGAACAGAGGATAAGCTTCACAAAAATGTGGGTACATATATTCAGATACACACACATACACATTATGGAAGTGTATCCAACAGTACTACACATTCAGACACACACACACACACACACACACACACACACACACACACACACACTGTGGGCTACAGTCCATGAAGTTGGTTTTGTCACATAGCAAACAATCATCTTTAGTTCTATTTATAGGACGTTATTTATAACAGGGATAAAAGAAAAGAGTTTGAAATCATCCACAGTCAGAACAGGAAGCTTGTTGGAGTTGAACACAGGGTCACACAGGGAGATATACGACGTGAAGAGGGAGATATGGAGAGACATAAAGACAGAGGAGGGGGGGGTGGGTGGTTGGGCGGAGGGGGTGCTCTGCAGTCCCAGAAACAGTGGAGAGAACAGTGCCAGCAGCAGGGAAGTGGAGCATCAATTAAGGGCAGCGTGCCCTAGATGGCACGGTAACGTTCCCACAATGCATCACCATCATCAAAACCACTTTACTTTCTGTCTCTGTCTCACAAACATACACTTTGTCTTTCTACAGGCCTCCTGTAACGACTGATATAACCTCATGTGGACATCGAACCTGAACCAAGAGTCCAAAACCTGCAGCTGATCCAAAGTTTTAGTTGGGTAAAATTTGCTCACAAGGACAAGTTTTTTTTTTTTGTTTTGTACTTCTTGTTCGTACTGTGATCCCTCCTGCTGAGAACTGTCTACCTGTGCCTCACAAACATACTGATACACACACACACACACACACAAAGAACACACCCCTGTTGGTATTGAATTATTGAATAGTGAGCGACAGGGACACACACAGAATACACACCAGGAGAGGGTAATACGACGCTGAGGAGAGCCTCATGTACATGTCTGCAAACAGTCACGCATGCACACACACACACACACACACACGTCCTAAGACTGGTGTGATTAATCCAGTGTTAGGGGACAGAAAACGGTACGTCACACACTTAATGGTATTAAGACCCCGAACAGAATAGGTGTTTAAGTACGTACACACACACACACACACACACACACACACACTGGCCAGCGGAGGCGAGGGTGACCCAGTGTGAGGAGACAAAACGTGATGGGTCAGTGTCAGATCTGTGACATCACATCCTGTCAGCACAGACTGCACACAATGTTTCTGCGTCAGCTCAAAAATGCTGACACAGAATCATCCAAACTGCAGAAGTGCTGCATTCACGTGCTCCTCGGACAGTCCCATTTGTTTCCCACAGTGTGTTCATGTGCTTTTAAATCAGAAACAAAATGGACGCTATGAAAATGCACTGTAGTTTATTGCTCACAGCATTAAAGCATCACGATGCTGTTTCCAGTATTTGTGTTACTTATTATCATAGTTCTGCTATTAATTAACTTTTCTAACTAATGCAGGTCACTCTACATAGAGAGGTTACAACCTAATACCATATTACAAATTAGCAAAATATTGATTTGCAATATATGAATTTGCACCATTTACTTACGTCTTTCATGTTTCTCTGTTCAAAAACTCCACAAGTCGTGTATCAAAATTTTTGCAGACTTTCAAAGTTGCTGTTCCAACATAAGTGCACGTTCACATGAATTTTCACGTTTTTTTAAGATTATTCCGACACCATATGAATGAAGGGTAACATTAACGCTAAATTAAGCTGCAGTTTTCCCACATGTGCTGCTGCACCTGAATACAACGCTGCTGTTGGTGAAGGTGACTTGCCCACCCTGCGAACACTGAACTCTGTATCTCGGTCAATGTCACTTTCTCATTGGCTGATCGTCCAATCAGCTGGCACATCTCGGACAACAACACATCTTTGATTAGTTCCATGCTGCTGATTTTATTTCTGCTCTCTGTTTGATCAAAACTCTCGTGTTCCTTATTCAAGCACTGCAACCACCTCTCCTCTTCCTCCTCTCCCTCATCCCGCTTTTCCATGGTAATCGCGAATCACTCCTCCAGCCCACACCCCACCCCACCCCCCCAGTCCCCTTTTCTGCTGATGCATCAGGTTCAAAGATCCGTCAGCAGCTCTGGTTAATGTGTGGCTGCAACATGGCCGACTCGGATCATTGAGTCCTGTACCAGTCTGCATCCAAAGTGTGTGTGTGTGTGTGTGTGTGTGTGTGTATGTGTGTGTCTGAGCCAGCTAGATGTCCATCCTTCGTCATTACACAACGTGACTGAACTTCCTTCTATTCAGGGGAAGTTTTCCTAATCCCTGCACAGTTAATCCCAATCTGCATCCGCCCCATGTTTCCCCCTCCAGGCTGCCGTCCAACCAGACGCAGCTCATTCCTCACAGCAGGAAAACAGACAGACGCTGACAGGGGCCGACTGTCAGAGGTTTACGGCATGTGGAATATCAATCATGGCATAAGAGATCAAGAGAAACACAACATGGTTCGCTATGAAACTACTAGAGAAATACAGAACATATTATCACCCAACAGTAATGATGCTGCAAGCAGTTTGTATACAAATTGAAGTGCTATACCTTATGTGATGACAGTATAAAGCTGTGATCAACAACCAGGGGAACCTGTACCCCAGGGGGAACTCCTGCAGTTACCAGGGTGTATGGGTAAAAACGGCTGGGTAGCTCAACTAATTTGGAAAAATAGAAATAACAATTTGATTTTTCCACATATTATGTCAGACGTTACACCTGAACACCACATTTTCCACTGGAGAGTGTAAAAATAGTTAGCAAGGATGAATGGCTGAAATACATACACAGCTAAAAGTACTGAATATAATTTACAATTCAAATAGTTCGAAATATAAAATGGATAAATACAAAATAACTCAAAGTAAAAGATAAATAGTTGAAATAGTTAACTATAGAGAAAGAGTTGATATAATTAGCTAAAAGTAATGGATACTGGTTGAAACTGAGAGTTATGTTCATAGATAAGCACTGTTAGCTGATAGTAATGGATCAATGGTCGACATAGCTGAAAGTTGTGCATGAACAGTTCAAAGAGATCGGTAAAAAGGATAAATTGAAAGGTATTCTTCACTAAAAAAGTAAGAGAAAATGATAAGTGGTTGAGATATTTAACACGAAAAGTAACAAATAACAAGTTCAAAGCTTTAGCTAATGCTAAAAGTAACGAATAACAAGTACACATAGTTAGCTAATTCTGAAGGTAATGGATAAATGACGAAAATAGCTAAAAGTAATGGCAATAGTTATAAAATCTAAATGAATGGATAGGCAGTTGAAGTTGTTAGCTAAAATAAATGAATAAATGGTTGAAATAGCTTAAAGTTTTGATAAATGGTTGAAAATTATTTAACTAAATTAACGGATAACAGTGATGTTGTTATGAAGTCACTGTGAACTGCCATGAGGAACCATTGGGGGAATAATTTCACTCAGCACAACAGACACATACAGGAATATTACAGAAACACTGCACTGTACAAATATATTATTATTGTTATTATTATTATCATTATTATTATTATTATAACAGTGATCCTGCAATAATAATAGAATAGAAAGCAAAACATTAGCCAGTGATGTGATTAAACCCCATCTGCCACAGACATCAAACATTGCACTACAGTAAGGCAGTAGAAGAAGAAACGTGTAAAACAATCCAGGTGTGTGAGGTTAGTACTGAGGTACATTTTGAGTCCCTATGGTAATATCATTGTATTACTGTAACATTACCAATAAGTGCAGTAAGGACACTGTAAACTCACTATGGAGCCCCACATGCAGACTGAATCCCAGGGGGAATATTACTGGCATATCAGAGCGAGATCTGAGGTGAAGTTAGTCAAAGCCGCGTGTACTCACGTTCCCAGGACTTCTTTAAAATCAAATATCTTCTTGATGTCGTCGACTTGTTTTTTCCACGTCTCTCCCCTGCCGGTGTCTCCGTTCTCCCGAGCCATGGCGCTGCTTTACCGGCCCAAGTCCGACCGACACTGGGCTGCGGGAGGAGGGATGCGAAAAAAAAGACAATAAAAACGGGAGAGTATTTTGAAAAAGGAGAATGAAGCCGAGCTGTGCGTAAGAGGTTTGGAGAGTACCGGTGGTCTGCGCTGCTGCTGCAGGACCATGTGAGTCCTCCTGCAGGTTACCGTGTCCCTGCTGCCTCCCTCCTCCTCTTCTTCTTTCTCTCTCCCTCCTCTCAACAGCCCCCCACCCCCCACTCCTCCTTTCTCCTCTCCGGCCGTCTGGACAGCAGCTGTCAAAATCGCGACAAGCTAACACCACTTCCCGTGGGAACTTTCAGACTAAAAGCCTGTTGATTAACACAATGTAGCAGCATGAGCGTGAAAACATTACATATTATTTATATTTGTTGTTTAGATGTTCCAATAAGGACAATTAGGTGTATATATTACTACTGCTATTATTACCACTATAAGGACGAATAATATTAAATATATATACACAGTCCTTAAAGAACTTAATGTATTTTCAACTTCATATAAACATGAATTAAACAGAAAAATCAAAGCAAGACACCTGAAACAAAAAGCTTTTAATACATACATACACACACTCACATGCAATAAATAAAATAAAGTAAAATTAAATAAGCAAACCAAATAGCAGAATGTTTGCTTTGTAATGGTTTAAGATATTTAACTTAGCTGTTTCTAATGTTTTCTGTAAAGTGTAAAAACTTCAAGTAGTTTTTAATTATTTTGTTGCTTTGAGATAATTTATGCTATTAGGGTTAGGGTTCAAACTCAAAATCAAAATCAAACTCAAATGCAAATTAATTTCACCAAAAGCAACAATTTCTCCTCATCGAACCCTCTATTTTTATTATTTAATCTAACAATTTCACAGTTAAGCCAATTTCATTACTTCAAGAAACAATTTCTTTCAATTACTTTCATTTTGAAACCAATACCCCACAACTTCCTGTACTACACTGGTTACGTATGTGCAGCTTGACCGCGGACCTGCTGCCACCTGCCACTCTCTAAACGCAGTTAATTGCTGTTGGCGTGTTTTCGGGGTTTCCACTTCTCCACTCGCATTACCAGTTTAAAAGCCTCGTGTCCCCTTGTTAAGTCTCGCCCCTGATAATATTTACTGTATAATTAGATTATACAGAAACCGAGTCTTATTGTGGCAGTGCGTGTTGTAGCAGTAAAGGCAGCTGATGGGATGCTGCTCCTGCATCCTGTCCGACACAGAGAGGTGTGTAGGAGTCTGGTCCGGACGTGGCAGCAGGAGCTAAATTCGCAATGCGCCAACTTGCTGACAACAACCATCATGCAACTATCAAAGGGATCCCCGAAGGCGTGTGCGTGGATCAGCGCGGCCACCCGGGGATCAGCAGTGACCCCCGGCTGCATCTGCATGTTCACCGCGGTTTAACCGGCCCGCATAACACCTGGATTACAAAGTTTCAGTTTGCAGAGGAACACTGATCCTCCGGACTGACAGCTGCAGGGCCTGAGGTCAGCTCAGGCCGGTTACTGGCCTCAACACAGGAACACACACACACACTCACACACACAACCCGACTTCTCCCCTTATTATGTGTGTGTAATACTGTAGGGAGACACAGACAGGAGGAGGGAGGGAGGGGGAGGGGGACGACAATGTGTTGCAGCCTCAGCTGCTCATGAGTATTCCGGCTGCAAACTACTGCAGCTCTTCCTCAGCAGCAACTGAGGAAAACTCCTCTCCCACCTCCCCTCATCCGTCTTCCCCCTTCCCTCCCCCTCCCCCTCATCCTTTACTCTGAGTCAGCAAATCTGACCCTCCCTCCCTACCCCCTGATGAAAGATGATTACCCCATTTGCAGAGAGGGGAGGAGAGGAGAGGAGGGCTTTAAAGAGATGGTTTAAGAAAGGATGATAGTGGGGGGAGATGAAGGGGGAGATTTCATGCTTGCAGCTTAAACACAGCCATAAATTGTAGTTGTGCACACATGCAGTAATTATTTCACTGGCTGGGTTAATAAGTGGAGCCAGAGAACCAATGAAGGACTGAGAAACTGATATCCATATGTCTTCTCACATCAAAAGTTAGTTAGATAGTTTTTCAGAGTGTGCAGATTTCTTTGTCAGACACTTGAGCCATCATCAATGTTATTAACAATATGTGCTTTTCCTACAGGTGGAAATGTCCGCTGTGGGAAAGGCTAATTAGATAACTTTCCCCAAGGAAGAAATAATGTCACTGGTTGAATTAAACGTCAGTGGGAGGTAGAGAAGAAGTTATTTTTCTAAGTTTAATTTAGCTAATGAAGACACTCTGTCAACTGGCTCTCTCCTCTGTGATGTGTCATCTTTTCCAGTGCTTTAAGGCTAACATCTTTTAACTTCGTGGACTGAGCGTCTTTGGCGCCGCACAAAGATTTTAGTCAAATGAGACCATTTTTTAAACCCTAAGAAGCTTTTTTCAGGCTGAAATATATCTTTGATCTACATTCAAGGTAACTAAGCAAATTTACCTTGGATCAGCATCAACTGATTTGTTGGCCATTTCGGGGCAGCACAAAGAGTTAGGGTTATTGTATCTCTTATTACATTATTATAAAAACAGCTGACTGAAGATGACACCGATGAGAGCTGTAAGACTCAACCAAGACAGAACAGCCGAGGGCCAGAAAACCAAAACAATAAGCTGAAAGATGCTAAACGCTCCGTAGAGCTGAGAGGAAACGCAGAGTAGTGATAATCCTTGCACCTTTGTCACTACAAGCAACGCCTTTTACATACCCACCATTATTTCATCCATTTGTTAATATAAAAATACTGATGATAGCAGCTTTAAATTGCATTAAAATACACTCAGTTGCCAGTTTATTAGGTACATATAGCTAAAACGAATGCGGCCTAATTCACCAGCCCTGCAATGAATTGTACTGCATTATACTGAGAAGCACTTCTAGTATTTTGTCCACTAAATATTAGACACACTTTTGCAATATAGTTGGGGGTTTGGATTAGTTGGATTTACAGTGGATTAAACTGCATTAGTTTTAGGGAGGTGTAGCAAATAAACCAGCGACTGCTTCTACCTCTTTTCAGGCAAATTAAATGTGCTACATAATGCTTTCTCTCACTGTTTATATAATAATAATAATAATTATTATGATTATTTTCTTGGCTTCAGACTGGAGTTCATCATTGGTCTGTCTTTCATTCTACCCTTACGCCACCAAAGAAAACCTGCAACAAGCATCAGACTCAATAACATTCAGACGTTTCCACATCTTTGGTCGGATGTTGATGTTTGCCTTTAACTCCACAAACCCTGTGCGCAGATATCAGCAGTGACGCTCATCCTCCACCGCAGGTCAAGCCAGGACACCACCTACAGGTCTGGATGGTTTGTTTACAGCCAGACTTCATTTTCATAATGGTGATTAATGTGAAACATTCCCCACAATATGTGCATTGTATACCGTTTCCCGTCCACAGCGTTTCACCCGGGGAGTTGTAACTCTCACCACCAGCTCTTTCCATCTCCCTGTAATTGCTCAGTCCTCTGAAGGAAGAGAAAAAAGAAAAAAAAAAAAAACCCCAAAAAGACAAAATGAAGTGCCCTGCGTCGTGCATGCACAGCTCATTTAGCTCCAGGCGTAATGAGAGCTTACGTAAAAGCACAATCAATTTCTAATGTGCTAGTTTACAGCACCCACCAGACTGACAGCCGAGTCAATACACGACAAGAAATTTAATGGTGTTTTTTGGAGCAGCAGTCTACAGCGATGCATGATGGAAAAACAGGAGTTGAAAAGAGGGCCCGGAGTGTCTCAGAGCAACGAGTGTGTCAAAACTGCTCAGAGGAAATTGGCAGGGGGAGATGGAGGAGCAGGGAAGGCTGGGAAGAAAAATGAAAGGTGACTCAGTGATGAACGGCTTTAGTGTTAAATGAAGACGTCTGTCACAGCCTCGTAAGACACAAACACAGAGTACAATGAAGAGAGTGTGTGTGTGTGTGTGTGAACTAGTTCATTTTAAATCCAGACACTGTTTGGACTGAAATTAGATACATAAACTAATATACAGACTTATTTTTAAGTATAAAAGCAGGCATTCTTTACAGTGTTAGAGAATACACACCCACTCTGCAGTAACATAATGTTTCTACTCATAAAAAAACAAATCATTTCACCAAATCTGAAATAACAAGACTATTCGACACTGCAGAGGCCTCCCTCCCCCTCCTCCTCCCCCTCTCACAGAGCCATTACGACTGGCAACACGGCTCTCAGCGGTGTCGCAGGCGGAGAACAAGTGCACAGAAAATGAATCCCTAAAAGAGCCGTTTTAACACGATCCTTTAATTTAACATGTTCCATTAAAACTAAGGCGAGAGAGACGTTCAAGAAACCCCGGGCACACCGCGTACCGTTTACCGGGAGGGCGCGAGAGAAACCAGGCAGAAATTAAAAAAAAGAAAAAAGAAATAAAAGAAGCTCAGACAGGACAGAGGGTGGAGAGTCACTTCATGCTGAAAACATTATACGGAGGACTGTTGACACTAGCAGCTATTCTTCAGTTTCAGGGGATGCGTGTCACTGTGGAGCGTTCTCCTCTTCCTCCTCCTCCTCCTCCTCAGACTCTTCCTGCTGGCTCTTCTTCTGTGGAAAGATGACAGCAGAGGAAACGTTAAGATAAACCCTCTATCGGAATAGATTCTACTTCTAACCATGTTTGGGGGCTGAACTAGATCTGCTCATCTGCACGGCAACTGTTAGCTTAACGCTCAAAAATGTGTGAGATGTCAAAACAGTAAATAAGTCTCTTGACATTTTCTCATTTATTTGAGCAGCCGAACGATCGGCGAACAGGATCTGAAACCTAGTTAAGAGGAGAAGGTGACTACTCACTCCACTACACTGAAGCCTGAAAGCCGGTTTGTGAAGCTTGTTTGAACGTCCTACCAGTTTGAGGAAGTCGATGAGTTTGTAAGCGTCCTCTCCCGTAGAGAGGTCCACAAAGTCCCGTGGGATCCTGTAGCTCAGACAGGGACTGGGCTGCACCGTCACGTCGCTGGTGGTGCAGCGGAACGCCGGGCCCTCCTGCACACACGCACCGACACCGTACATGTTAAATAATTACAGCTGAGGCCGTTGTCCACGTCCCGACGGAGCGCCAAATAAATAAATCTGCTGTATGAAAACATGGCTGACCTGCTGGTGGGCGGTTTCTCCTCCACACGTCAGCTCCTCCCAGCTGAACAGCAGTGAGTCAGTCACCTCTCCGAACGGGTTCAGGTCGATCAGCCACACCCTCCCCTGCAACACACACACACACACACACACACACACACACACACACACACACAATAAATGAGTGTAAACCTGTCTGCAAGGTGCATGTTTGGAAACGTTCTGTATCAGGATTCAGTAGTATGCTCACCTGGCTGTCTCTGTAGACGTCAAACACAACTGCAAAACAGAAAAAAAAAAACTAGATAAACCGCAGCACCTGCAGTAATTTGACATTTAAATAACTCTATCAGCTAGTTCCACAAAGTAAAAACTGTCAAGAAGTAAGAAACTGTTACTGCTACCTGAAATTAAATTTTAAAATCACAATTAAGTGAAAAATGACTCGCCGCGTTCGATCAATCTTTCCCCTGCCTCATTAACAGTTAATATTTCATGACTTTAAAAAGTAAAATGGAGTGAATAGAAGATGTGGAGAAAAAAAAAAAGATGGTGCTTACAATCTTCGTCCAGGAAGTTGTACTGGATGTGCTGGCTGAAGAACTCCTGTACGGCCTGACTGATCTGCTCCTCCTGCTTCAGGACGTGCTGGTAATACTGAGTGTAGTCTCTCTGGGAGATAGCTGAGAGTTCACACAGACGCAGCATCAGTCCAGCTCAAATTGAATTTTATAATTGTTTCTAAATTAGCCGGCTGAATATATGTACTGCTCAAACGTTATTTTATCACTGTTTAAGGTTGTTTCTCTCCGGATACAACTTGTGATGTTAGAAGTGATAGAGATGTAACAGTGTCGTTGGTTAATTATTACTAATATCTTTAAATGAATGTGTTGAAGGCCAAGTGAAGACTGATGGTCAGAGTGCGAGCGGAGGGTTTTTACCGATCAGTTTGTTTTCTTTGACGAAGCAGCGAAACTCTCCGCCAGGAATCAGCTCGCTCCACTTCCTCAGGACCAGCTGAGGACAGACGATAACACAGGTGAGAAAACACCTGGTGGTGTATGTTTGTGTGGAGACAAATACAAAATAACTATTGAGTTCCCCTGCACAATTTTCTCATCTGAAACACAGATTTAAAGGGGCTATTTGTACTTACATTTAGCTCCTTTAACGACATAAATATATTTTTTTAAAGTACATATAGTACATGGAGACAGTTTGGGACAATGTGTGCTAATGTTATATGTATAGTTTGTCTTTTGTTTTAACCATGAAGGACAAAAATACCTCATAGTTGATGACTGGATCTGGGGAGTCCTGGTCACTACACTGAAGGAATCTGCAAACAGAAATGAAAGAAGATTATAAATGCAAAGCAAAACCAAAAAAAGGAAATGAATAAAATAAAAATAAAATGATCTGTAGCATCACCAGCACAACCAGTGCAACCACACTGCAGACAGCTCGGCTGCTGTGATGTTCTCAGAAAGTTTGAAATAGAAGTTTTAAAAAGTCCAACAAACATACATCACATTGTTTCCTCTACACACACACACACACACACACACACACACACACACACACACACACACACACACACACACACACACACACAAAGAGCTTTCTGGAGGCTGTGCACTGCAGTAAACCACTGGCTGCATTTAATGTTTGTCATGCAGAGCCGAGAAGTGCGAGACATAAATTTACATCACAGCAACGTCTCCAGCCACCGCTTGTGTTAAACTGCACGTTCCAATCAGCCTGTGCACAGCGAGAGAACCCGGGCCCGTTTTTTGGTCTTGGTTGTCAAATACAGTCTCTTCGTAAAGTGTTCAGAACCCTTGTTTTGTAAATTTTAAATGGATAGAATTGCTATTTTTGCACATCAATCTATTAGATAAGTCTTCAGACCCTTAATTCAGAACTTTGTAGAAGCCTGTTTGGCAGCTTTTACAGTTTCAGGTCTTCTTGGTGAGTCTCCTCCAGCTTTGCGCACCTGGAGTTGGGCAGTTTATCTCATTCTTCCTGACAGATCCTCTCAAACTCTGTCAGATTGGATGGGAAGCATCTGTAAACTGCCACCTTCAGGTGTCTCCACAGATGATCTGTGGGGTCTGGTTCATTGTCGAGCTGAAAGGTGAACCGTCGCCCCCAGTTCCAGCTCTCCTGGACTCTGAATCAGGTTTTCTTCCGGGACCTCTCTGTATTTGGCTGCATTCATCCTTCGCAAAGTTCTGACTGGTCTCCCTGTCGCAGCCAGCCACTAAAGGCTGCTGAGACGGTCGTCCTTCTGACAGGTTCTCCATCTCTGCGGAGGATTTGTGGAGGACGGAGGCTCTGTTAGAGTGACTGTTGGGTTCTTGGTCTCCTCCCTGACCAAGACCCTTCTTGCTCGGTTACTCAGCCGACTCTAGTCCTGGTCCCAGACTTCTTCCATTTCACAGTTATTGAGGCCACTGTGCTCCTGGGAACACTCAGAGCTTTAGAAATGGTTTTATACCCTTGACCTGATCTATGCCTTGTCACAATTTTATTGCGGAGGTCTACAGAGAGTTCCTTAGACTTCATGGCTTAATTTTTGTCCTGACATGCAGAGTGAATTGTGAGACCTTATATACACACACACACGAGTGTGAGCCTTCCTAAACTATGGCTCATCAATTCAATATCCCATAGATGGACTCCAGTCAAGTTTTCAACACAGCTGAAGGATAATTCAAGCAAGCAGGAAGCAGCTGAATGCAGTTTGCCATTTTTGATTTCAAAAAACATGTTTTCCATTTGTCATTATGGATTATTGAGTTTAGATTTATAGTCAAAAATGTGTGTGTGTGTGTGTGTGTGTGTGTGTGTGTTGATGCGGGACAGCGAGGCTTACGGTTGCGTGAGGTCGTGGGTGATGAAGTCTGAACTTTTGAAGAGCAGAAATATATCACTGAGGCTGTGACACTGCAGGGAACTGTTCAGAGCAATCCAGTTAGCATCCTGGAGGAGAGACACACACACACACACATGTTGGCAGTGGTACAAGAAGTTCTTATTCTTCAATGTACTGAAATGAGCAACAGATAACTTTCTAATGATATAAATTACAAAACAACACACAGTGGGGTCCAAGAGTCGGACACTGACTCACCCGTGGAGCGCTCCAGTTGAGTTTAGGAAAGACACGCCCACCCAGGGCATTTATGGCCTCCAGCACTTTAGAGGTGAATTCTGGGAACTCGGGAGCCTGGCAGACACAGTCATCACTGCATTACTAAATTATATACATGCCACAAGCAAGGGAGGTTACCTGATACACAAATGTTTCAATGACTGAGGGCAGTGATGCACTATAAAAAGTGAAGAGGAAGACTTCAGACCTGTGCAAATGTAGGTTTAAAAAATAATGTTTTATCAAGTTGGAAATGGATTCAACATATGTGTTGGGTCTTAAGGATCCAGATAGAGCAATTTAGCATTTTAGCAAGAAACTGTTGATGTTCTTACTGTGACAGTGGTGGTTGTCTCATCATCTGACCACTGGAGGGGAGCAGAGAACAAGACACAGGACTAAACTGTTAATCTGCAGTTCCTCTGAGGTCATGTGTCCACCAGCTAAATTAGTTATATAACAAGATATTTCATGACAAAAACATGATGACTGAAACAGACTTCATTTCTGTTGCTATACCTGAATGTCTTCCTCTGCATCCGAGTCGCTGTTGTTAGTTTGTGTCTGCTGTGTGTTGTGGTCACTGGAGAGAGGAGAAACCACAGAGATATACTGGTCAATTGAGCAGCTGCATTATGAACTAGACACAAATTAAACCCATTCACAGGACACAAAACACAGCTCTGAGGATCATAGTGTCGACACTGTAAGATTAACAAACAGGTTGATCTGACAGAAACTGAAATAATCCTTAGCAAACAGAGGGTCAACCTGTAACATCACTCGCCTGCTACAAACCACCCCACAGCATCTTTAAATTGATACTACTCAAACACAGCATGATTTCCCCACCCACATGAAAATACAGAAGCCTATTTGGGATCCGTGCAGAAATATTTAATATATGTAAGCTATGCTATTTTTGTATTTACACACATCGGTGACATTTGGTCATCTTTGGTCATTCTAACAATGGCAACATGAACAGAGTATGTGTTTGTGTGTGGCCTCATACCTCCCAGAGACTACCAGTGTCCCATCGTCCAGTAAATAGTCTATTACATTCTGAGGCAGTGGGAGAATCAGGCTGGAGAAAAAGAAAAGTGATTATTCCAAGTATAAACACATGCAAATGCTAAAATCAACAGAGGTGCAAGGAAGAAGGAGGTCGAAAGAAACTGGTCTGAACAGGATTTAAGTACAGTTATTATTTAGTACTAAACACGATGAAGATGAAGACAGGCAGTCAGATAGAGATGGCAGCTATCTGTTTCTGCTGCTAGCTAACGTTAGCTGCTCATTAGCCTGTGTTTCACTGCAACAACTATGAAAATATTTCCTCCTGGATTCCTGAACAACAGACAACGACTGCTGTTTACCTTTTAATCGTATGTTTCTTGAATATCGGATACCAAACCGAAAACTGACAGTTGACAACTTGCTCCTTCTTCATGCTGCAATATCCTGTAATGGAAAAGTGTCCATCAGTAATTATCGTCCGAACCCCTAGTATTTTGCTGAGGCTCTGGGCAGCATTTTCATTCAACGCCTTGAAATTCAGAGCCAATATTTGCACACCTATTAATTATGTTTAATTTACATTTGTAAACAGCCAAGAAAATTATTTTTATTGCTGGAATTTTGTGATAAAATTTAGCTTTCAGACGGGGAGGTCTTTCTGAGGTGCACATGTGGGCGTGGTCGAAGTAAAACCCGCTGACTTGCGGCATAGATCGTTTATTGGAAAGAATTGTCACTCAATACCTTAAAAACTACAAGCGTAACTTCAATTTTCAAAAAAAAATTCTACAATGTTACATATTGAACATAGCTAACATTGCCATTATACAGATTTAATATGAAGGCGGCACTGAGTTTGAATGGATTAATTTGCTCTCAACTAACTATAGTTACTTATTTATTGTAAAAAAAATTGTTTTTACTCATATAAAAAAATGTAGTTAAGAGAATAGTTGCTGAATGTATTGAATAAATAAATTTTAGAAATTACTCCAAAAACATTAATTATTCAATGTATCACAAAAATGGTCTCGGGGACGTTTGCTGTCACCGGAAGTGGTAGCAGAGTGACACCTCTATACTTCTGTACGATCTCAACTACTACTTACACACGGTTGGGATTTCACGTGAGTTAAGTTTAGTTTTTTTCCATTTTACATGGTTGTTTAAAGTTTAAAATAGACGAGCTCTGAACTCCTATTGCGTCGTAAAGTGTGAAGCAGCGAGCAAACGTCAAATGAATAAAGAAACAAGCAGAAAAATGTGGAAATGTAACGGTCGTTGTTGAACTGTAGCAGCTAATTGAGCAACTCATGATCAGAAACGTCTCGTCTAGCCTTCACTGAAGATGTGGTTATAACGCTGCATGTTGTCTGAATTGTCATTTGAGCTTGTAGTGAAGCTTGTATTCCGATTTAAAGTTTTCTAACTCGTCTTTTCATCCATTTTCAGTTGTCCAGATATTGACAATGAGCAACTCTGAGGAACCCAACGTGACTACAGCTCCACACATAGTGAAAGAGGAGGTACGTCTGTTTGAAGCCTGTGATGTCACCTGTAGTGACATGAGGCTATGATGTACAGTAGACCTGCTAATGCTAATTTGATACAGCCACACGGCAAAAGTAAACGTGTTTCTAACATTCTGACTCCATTAGTGGTGGACTCACTCAACACCTATTTATAACTTGTTTATTGGGTTTTGCAAAAACATAAAATTGAGTCATCACAACATTTACAAAATGGACATAAATATATAGTTATATTTGGATTTTAGTTATTATAGGTGATAATTAACAAATTGCTAAACACCAGAAAGCGAAAATAGACAAACAGACCAACAAACTGCAAAATACACATACCAAAATAAAGAAAACTAAAACAAAATCTAATGGTAAACTGTGCCACTTTAATTTTATATATATATATATATATATTTATACACACACACTAATATGGGATAGAAAAGTTTGCAATAGACTATAATTGAACATAACTGTAAAACACACCATGTTACAATCAATATTCAAAATATTCTTTCCCAAATGTGTTTCACTTTAACCTGTCAGTGAATATAAAGGTTAAATCCTACACAAAGTTCCTTTTATTGAGCTGTTTAGCTGTAACGTGTTGTGATTACAAAGCAACACTGGATACCTCTCAGATCATCTCAGCTCACTGTGTCCATGCTGCTCTTTCTGTTCCAGCTCATAGCAGCAGGGAAATGGGTGAAACTGGAGAAAACGACATACGTGGACCCAGCTGGAAACACCAGGTACTGTTCTGTCACTCACTAACCCAGCTTCAAAATCCCACAATCTCCCTCTGTGCTGCTTTCAGTCCCTGTTTTCATCCACTAGAACCTGGGAGACTGTGAAGAGGACAACAAGGCAAACCAACACAGAAGCAGATGGTGAGCATACCCATTTTTTTTCTCTGGTTGTTCAGCATGTAATTCAGGGTGTCCAGAGTGTAACCCGATTTTCCTGCAGGTGTGGGAATCATCGCCCTCCTGAAACGGACGCTCCATAAAGACTGTGTAGTGATGGTGAAGCAGTTTCGTCCTCCTCTGGGATGCTGCACTTTGGAGTTCCCTGCGGGTCAGAAAGTTCATCACTCACGATCATTGGCATTGATCTGATTGATTTGGCCTTTAGCAGAGATTTGGGGAAGACATGGGAAAGTTTCTTTGTTTGGACTTCCTCTTGTTGACTCAAAACAGACTGTGATCGCTGCTGTTGGAGATCGTGTTAGTTACTGATGCCAGGTTGTGGTTTCCTGTCTCTGCTGTGCTCAGGCTTGATCGACGAAGGGGAAACTGCAGAAGCTGCTGCACTGAGGGAGCTGAAGGAAGAAACCGGCTACAAAGGGGAAGTAGTAGGAGTCACTCCAGGTATCATTACCCAGAGACACACTGGACACTTGATTGCATTAGTTGCCTGTATCTTATCTCTTGTTTGTGTTGGAGAGGTTCAGGGGTCCCATACTCACTTTTATCTAAGCGAACTAAAAAAGCAGCGGTGATAGATTTTGAAAGTTTGGGAGTGTGCATGAGTGTGTAGCGGTATGTGATGTTATTGCTGTGATTGTAGTGACCTGTCTGGACCCCGGCCTGTCTAACTGCACCACCCAAATCGTCCTGGTCAACATCAATGGAGACGAGGCGGGGAATATTAACCCGACACAACAGCTTGGTAAGAGGATGGGCAAGACCTCATATATATCTCATATGTACTGTATGTTAAGAATATATTTGCCTGTAGCATACGATAAAAACATGTTGGATAATCTTCTTCTCTTGTGTTTTTCCACAGGTGATGGAGGTGAGTTGTTTATATTTTTTACTTATTTTTTACTTACTGAAATATTGTTCTTCCATCATAAAGCAGATTATCACACAAACCCTTTATCTTCTCTTTGCAGAATTCGTTGAAGTCATTCTTTTGCCTCTCGATGAATTCCAGACGAAAATAGATGGTGAGACCTCAGTTTGTTTTACAGTGAAATTATTACGAGAGCGATATGAGCGCGCAGACAGTCCAAAACGCACTAACATCACACTCGGCTTGTTTGCTCCTGCAGATCTGCTGAAGAAAGAGAAAATCGTGGTGGATGCTAAAGTTTACATCTTTGCCATGGGAATGGTTCAGGCCTTCTTCAAACCGAGGGAGCTCCCCGTCCTGAAGCAGTGAAGCAAAACGTCGAGGATGAGAATGGGAGGAAGAGATAGTCTTTTCTGTTGCACAGGGCTCCTACACAGGACAGGAACATTTGGAAATGTATTGAAACGGATGATTTCCAAATTCTAATAAGACACTGAATGAAGAATTACTCTTGCATTGTGGTTTTAGACCCCTTGCAACCTCATATTTTAATATTTGTGTCTATGAAGTGTAATGACCATCCATAAAGCGATGTGGCAGTTAGAAAGCACAATGCAACTGTGTGTTTAGATCATAGTGAACACAAAAATCTGGAAATCAAATTATGAAAAAGCCTTGGATATAGAAATTGAACCTATGAAGGAGCCCTGTTTACACTACATGTACTGGACCACTTGTTGCTCTCAGTATGGAGGTACTACAATACATTTCCTAGGGTGGAAACATACTCTGGTGGCCAAATTTCAGTTTGCACACTTAAAACAGAATTTGTTCCAGCCTTTAGTCTTGTATGCCTTAAGTGACTAACAGTCATTTCCAGTTTTTTTTTTTTTTTTATGAGATTAGAAGTCATATAATGGGATGCAATTTATTGTGATTTTTATTTAGTGATTGTAAAACATTCCTTCCATGTGCTAACATGATGTTTTTCTGACTATAGGAGAAAAAGAAAATCACCTCAAAACATTGATACTGTTAAAAACTGGCTGTGAGTGAAGTATGTTGCAACATTTGCCCCATTAGTTTGGTATATTCATCATTTTCTCTTGGATAACATCAGTGGTGAATATCAGGTCATACAGAAATATCAGTCAATCAATCGAAAAAAAATCAGAAAGCACTGGACAAATAAATCACTCAAACAAATATTCCCTAAAGGCATCCTGGGAGTTGAAGGAATTTGCTCATTAACATTAGAGAAAGTAAATGATCCATTAGTCACAATAACTCCTGCAATGTAATGACAGTAACATACTTTGTCTATTAACAGTGTTAAGCAGCTGAGTTTTTTTTTTCTTCCGATGCCACTGTAATATATAACAGAGGTACTGTACTGATAAAAGCAGTTACTGATTAATATGAAATATTCAATGCTGTGCCTCCAACCTCATGATGGTGCAATTAACTGGATACTGATGTTGTACTTTCCCTAGAAACTAGAAATTACTGACCAATGAATAAATGTGATACTACCTTTGCTCTTACTGGAGTCTGGGCTTCTGTCTCAAACTGACCTGTCAGCAACTAAAGTGCTTTTTAAAGTGTATGTGCCTGAGCTGCTGTTGATGCATGCAATATGTTAGTAGTATATGACATAAGCAACTATAAATAGCTATGTAAGTGGCAATGCCCTGTTGTGATTTGGGATTTTACCCCATGGGAAAAAAAATCTATTTTTTTAGTTCTGTAATAATGCAGAGCAAACAAAAAAATAAAAATAAAAGAAGCATAATAGGTGCAAAGAAATATATTTAAAAAAAAATCATAGATTTCAGAGTATTGTGTAGGATTTCAACAAATTGAGTGTTTAATGTATATGAAGTTGCACAATAGAAATTGAATGTGTATTTAAACCTAGATGATTAAAAAAAAAAAATGTGAAAGATGCCGTATTCAACATACTACCTGTACAGGGTTTGTTACTGGGTGTCATATTTTCTTTGTGTACACCATTAGTTCTCAAGTTAAGGGCTTTTTCAGCTTCTTAGTGGCCATTTGCTTTGTTAAATGTACAAAACATAATATTCAAGTAACTCTGTTTAACATAAAAGCACTTGTCACTTGTTTTTCTGCGATTGTACCTGCCATCTCCACACTCCAATCCAGTAGGTGGCGATAATGCACCTTTAAACTCGTGAGCCAATGAAATTGAAAAGTCGAAGCGCGGGCCGATCACGTGATTTGGTCACCAATACAAACTGAGTTGCTTGAATAGAAGCTTCATATTCTTTTTTTTTCTTTTTTTTAACGGTAAATACAACAAGTCAGGATTGGCGGCAAAATGAACTGCATTTGAGTTTTCGGGGGAAGGTCATAGGTCAGTAGAGAGGAAATGCTAAAGTATAACGTTAAACAAGCTAGCGACAGTCGTTGTTTACTATCATGTAGTCGTAGCGCTAACATTTCGAGTCTGGATTTTTGTACAAATAAATAACAATAATCACAATTTCTGATCAATTATATCTGCTTACTTTGACTTGTATGTCGCGTTGGATTAAAGCGACTGCCAAAAAAGTACATGTAAATGTGTAATGTACTTTAATTTCAGACTGGCGAATGCACGACGATGGAGGTGGCTGTGAACGGTGAGTTAATTCATAATAAAGAGGAATAGCTGAACATACTCTGTCCATTTAGCACAGAAGACGGTTATGTGCTAACTCTACCTAATGTAACCAGTATGTAGCGAGTTCTGTGTCCGACATTGCCATTTGACTGGTGATGACAACACCAACCTTGGACTCACAAACGTTAAAGTTAGTTCTTTAAAGTTTGCTTGATTAAGAGGATGAACCAACGTCTTATCAAAGAACAGGCCTGGCTGGTAATTCCTGCATAACTGTCATGTTTGTTTAACCCCAGCCCTTCACTGAAGAATGAGCGTACCATTGTTGAAAGCATGTGAGCTAATGGATGGCTGATACAAGACAGGGACAATCCCATTACTGTAGTTTGTGTTGTGCCGACGTGACTGAATCTTGTGTGGTTTTCAAGGAAAGGCCAAGAGGAGACACTTGGGTCCTGAGGAGTGTGGTGAGCTAGCAGCAGAGGGCATTAATGCCCTTGCACATCCCCACACCCTTAACCGGGGGCGGGGAAACCGGGACCCCAACAGGGGGCTTTACCCCACCAAGCGACGGAAGTGGGGTAAGTTGCTCTAAACCTTCTGCTTCACACTTATTTTATGAATGTGATTGTAAACAGAGTGACAGTGACAGCAGACAGTGCCCATCTTTCAAGTGCTGTATTCATAAAATTCATGTTTGACACTGAATCTCTGTCCTTTCTCTTAGCTGCCCCAATGGTTGCAATGAGCCAGCTGGAGGATGAGGATAAGGATGATGTTGAAGATGATATTGATGATGCCACTTTTTTAGCTGTAGTAATGGCACCAGAGGCCCAGTCAGAAGAAATAGAGGACGAAGTGGACGATGCCACACTGCTGGCTGCTGGAACACTGACAGAGCGTGAGGAGGTGGATTATTTGGAGGGCATGACCGCCGAAATGTTTGGTGAAGACTTTGACTGTTGTGATAGCAAGTTTTACAAGAATGAAGAGTTGGTGGAGGAGCTACCTGATGCCCACTATGGGCTGCTCGGCAGCAGCGATTTCCTGCTGCAGCCCCAGGGCTGCATGGACGACCTTCCAGAGGAGGTGCTGTGGCAGGTACTGTGCCTCCTCTCTGCCCAGGACCTCTACCGCAGTGCCATCCGCGTCTGTCATCGCTGGAGGAACATTGTCCAGGACAGCAAGGTTACACAAACCACAGAGTTATATCAAATTACATTTTTATCAGCAGGGGTTGTGAGGACTAATATAGAAGTTAAGTAATATTGTTTTAGTAAAAACAGGGCAGGTGTATGCTTAGAGCTGAAATGAGTTTTAGCAAGTTCTCATTTGAAAAAGAACATGTTTGAGAGATGAACCCTGTGTTTACACTGTTGACTCTGTAGAGCGTATTTTTTTTTACTTTGCCTGCATTATAGTTAAACCACTTACAGTCAGTCCAACTCAAACTCAGGGGCAAAGTAAAGATCACCACATTAACTTAGTGGTTGTGTGTTTCTTTTTGCAGTTTGTGCCCTTCAAGAAGCAATACTACCGCTACTTGATGCGAGAGAAGGACACAATGCAAGAGATCTTCTCCATCCTGAAGAACAGCAGCATCACAGATCCAGCATTGTCACAGCACAGCATTCGACACCTTGTTGTGTAAGTTTATATTTCCTTAGTAAGGGGATTAAGCTTTTTGTAAGAGGAGTCTCATTACAACTTTGCAATGTTTGTATTTTAATGAAGACATAGTAAAACTCTAATCTATGTAGAATTATTTGTATTTGTAAAGTTGTGATGGTGTTACTTACTATTTTCTTTGACATTTTAAGCTTTTTTTCCTGATCTTTCTTTCATTGAGATTCAGTATGAATCATGCAGACAATGGCTGGCATAAATGTTTCGATGTTAACTGTGAAACTTTTGCTGTCTGTGTGTGTGTGTGTGTGTTTTTGTCAGTTTAATGGCTCAGCATAAGGTCGGAGAGCGGTTGTGGCTGAAAGATGTTCTGAAATGTGTTAAGAAGCATCACCTTTTTCCTCAGGCTGAGGCCTCCATCAGATTACGCATTCCTGATATTCAGAATCACTTTAACCCTTGCACTGAGGTACGGTTCACACAAACAAAACACAAAATTCCTTTGTAATCATTGGGAGAAAATGACAACTGTGGAACTTGAAAAATGTAAGGTCTTCACATCATTCTTGTCTGATCTCCAGGGTCCCAACCCATACGCAGCCATGGCTGTCATATTGATCCTCAGTCAGAGTGTTGGTGACGTGCAGGCCTTGGTGTCTCTGCTCACTGGCTGCATGTCGCACACCGCCATCACAGAGTACCTCAGCCACATGGCCATGATGTTGCTTGCTTTACAGAGGAGTAACATCCAGATCAGTAACAGGTAAGACCCACAAGTGTCAGCATTTATATTCTCACATAGTGCACAACTTCTCGTCAGCCTCCCTATGATTTTTATTTTATTCCTCCTCAGGTTGCATTACAACATCTACTACGTACTTCACCTGATGGAGAACGGCCCCTTTTCTGTCGGCTCCTGTCAGAGCGGGTGAGGTCCAAAATACAATTGTTTCACTGATGTGTGTGGGAAAGAAGTACATCCTGCTGTGTTTCCTTATTTCATCATAGTGATGGATCCACTGAAGGTTCAGTGGGGTCTGTTTATCATTCAGGGAATCTGCAAGTCTTATAGTCTTTAAAAACAAATTCAGCCCCTACAATAAAAGGCGATAGAAAGTAGAAAACAAGTCTTAAATTTCATTTACAAAGGTTTTGAATATTTTTTCTTGCAGTAACATTAGTCACATTTTTTGTTTATCAATGTAAACCAACATGACCATCAGTTGTCCTTAAATAGCTGAACTCACTAAATTCAGATGTTTTGTTTTTTGGTTTCCAATACGAGCGGTTCAGTCTCAACCCAAGGTAAACTTAGTTGACTGCAGGTCACTACAGCATTTCTGAGTTCAGCTTCTAAGTTCTATAGCTCAGCCAACTGATGGTTAACTATACGTGACTGAAGAAATGGGGATATGTGTGTGTGTTTCTGCTAGGTGGCCTCAGATTCAGCTCACTGGTGAACAGCAGCAGATCCTCACCCACGACATCCAGGAACACCATGTGGTCAAGATCATAGCTTTTGCAGGTACAGTGAGTTAGAGGTGTGATGACCACTGCTACTCGTGGCACATTAGCTTATTAGCTCCACAAATCTTAATCCATTCTCTCTCAACAAAGAACATGCTAAAACAGGATATCTCTGAACAGAGGAGCTACAGCTGGGAGTCAGTTCATGGAAACACAACATACTAAAGCAGTATGTATGAATAGCGATATAGTGTAATATATAGATATAGATAATATAGGTTTTTTTCTTATTTTATAAGTTAAGACATCATGCAGGAAATCACTCGTTTCTTCTGAGCAGTGGAAAATCCCAAAACAGCAATATATATATATATATATATATATATGATGTTGAACAATGTACAGTAAATATGTCAAATTTACATTATTATTATAGACCCGGCCAGACTGTATGCAATCGTAAGTAGTATACAAGACTGCTTTAAACCACTATAAACCCTCTATTACAACCTGTGTGTGTTAAACAGAAGCACACTAAGTTCAGCTGTACAACATTTGAAAGATCACCAGAGGGCATTCTTTCTCTGTCAGTCAGTTTATCCATACAGACCATAATTCTACTTCCTTATGCTTTTACCATGTAGTGATGGGTGCCTTTGAGTTGCTCAGCTCTGATGGTACTGAAGAATAGGGTCAGAAATACAATGTGAAAATATTTTCTGTTTATTTTCATTATTTCTCACATAATTAATTTCTTTGTTCTAGACACTTTGCAAACATTTATCTGTGCTGTGTTCAGTAGGAAAGGGCTGATCGTCTTTGAAG